GTGGGAATAAGAGGACGGTTAGCTTTTACAGTTAAACAGTACTCAGACATTACAGAGCGGGTTAGTCTTCTGCTGAGGTGGCCGCAGGGAGTCTTCTTTAATGTTTCCTGTCTGTGAGATCATGTTGTGTGTGTTAACACCATGGAGAACACCATGATCTAGATAATCCTATCAAACAGCTCCTAGCAACACTGATGGCACCAGGCCCCACTGTCAGCAGCTGCTTTTCTTCTTACTCAGATGTAAAGGGGTGGAAAACATTGGCTTATAAGTAGGAACCCAAAGAGACCTACAGCTGCATATTTAGGAACAGGATCTTGAGATGACAGCCACCTAAGACACCGAAGGACGGTTTTTACTTACAATAGTAATGATGTACAAAGAGTTACTGTAGTGACAACTTTGGAATTTTGGTTTCTTTAAAAAAACACAGAAATGTTATAAGAATATGTTTTTGTTTTAATCCCAGGTGTGAGATATGGAGCGCCTTCAGACTGTCCACAGCAGCTGATGATGATTTGCCCTGTGCTCTAGCAGGGGTGTGATTTTGCCAGCTGCAGATAGTTTCTGTGAGTATAACATTTGACATTCTGGGGACTTTTCAGAGGGTATATAAATGGTAGGGCCCCAAAAGGCAGGATGGGCTGTAGCTTGTTGGTTGGTTGCAGTTTTTTTTTTTTTTTTTTTTTTTTTTTTTTGGTTTTTCGAGACAGGGTTTCTCTGTGTAGCCCTGGCTGTCCTGGAACTCACTCTGTAGACCAGGCTGGCCTCGAACTCAAACTCAGAAATTCGCCTGCCTCTGCCTCCCAAGTGCTGGGATTAAAGGCGTGCGCCACCACCGCCCGGCTTGGTTGCAGTTTCTTAAGTAGTCATGCAAAAAGAAGAAAGAAGAAGGAGAAATTAGATATTCTGATTGCAAATATCAAACTCACCCCAAGAAACCCGATGCACCCAATCATCAGAAAGTAGTCTAATGATAACGCCACCCTCCAACCCTCTCTCTTCATGTCTCTCCTATCTAGTGTTAGGGGTTGAAAGGGTGGAGAAAAAGAGGTAGAAAAAGATAGAAAAAAGAAGAACCCACAAAGTAGCAAAGGCCAGACACAAATTACAATATTTATTTACCAGTGTATCTTTAAATAAAAATGAACAGAGATCACCAGTGACCCATGTGTCTGCTGGCCCACTGTCCCCAAGATGGCCTCTGTTGTATCCTACCTACGGCACCAAACTATTGTAAAGTCTTTCTGTCTGCCCCTACAAGTTGCCTGTTACATCCTGTCCTTCAAGGGCTGAGCTGTAGTGGTGCCCAGGCCCCTGGAGCAAGCCATAGCCAGCAAGATGGGGTAGCACCCTAGGATTGAGGATTCAGGTCTGCCCTTGTTCCGTTTCCTATTTCTGTGATAAAATACCGTCACTAAAGCAACATAATAGAGAAAGGACTTAATTGGCTCCCAATCAAAAGTTACAGTCATCCAGTTGGGATGGCGACGTGTGAGGAGCTTGAAACAGCTCGTCACTCCTGCAGTCCAGAGCAAAGAGAATAAATGTATTCCTGCTTACTTTACTCTGCCTCCCCACCCCAACCCACCACTTCTGTAGTCCACGGATCTCCTACCTAGGGAATGATACAAATCACAGTGACCGGCGTCAACTAACCTAATCAAGACAGGCTCCCACAGGCCAACTTGATCCAGACAGTCCCTCACTGGCACTCTCTTCCCACGATTCTAAATGTGTTTGGTTGACAAGCATAACTATTACAGTGTCCAAAGTAACGATGGTAGCTGGGATCTTTTTACCCTCCTGGTTTGAAGCTGACGGCTACTAAGGGCCTTCAGTCTTCAGTTCTTTGCATCAAAACACAGTAGTTTCTTTGTTACTTTGCGGGATGTGTGTTACAGTTTCTACTTGGCCGTCTTGCTGGGTCTCACCCCAGGGGCTCTCATGAATGAACTGAAGATGTTTTTCTACCCTCCCCCCTCTCCCCCAGTGTGTTTACTCTGAAGGAATTTGCTCTTACAGGGATTAGCTTCCTTCATGGATGTCACTATAGATTTCAGCAGAGAGGAGTGGCAGCATCTAGACCCTGCTCAAAGAAGTCTCTACCGGGATGTGATGCAGGAGACCTACAGCCGCCTGCGCTCAGTGGGTAAGCAGACAGCCGTCAATGCTCAGTGGGTCAGCAGAGAGTCCCCCTGTATTGAAAAGGAAGCCTCACCGAGCCTCTTCTATTCTCAGTTGCATGCCTGCTCTGAGGCATCTTAAGAGTCTTTTAAGATTTATTTTTCCCCCCAGGCGGTGGTGACTCATGCCTTTAATCCCAGCACTTGGGAGGCAGAGACAGGTGGATTTCTGAGTTCGAGGCCAGCCTGGTCTACAGAGTGAGTTCCAGGACAGCCAGGGCTATACAGAGAAACCCTGTCTCGAAAAAACAAAAAAACAAAAAAAAAAAAATTATTTTTTTTTTTTATGTGTGTGTGTGTGTGTGTGTGTCCTGAGGGTGCTCACATGTGTTGCAGTATCTGTGGAGACCAGAAGAGGGCATCAGATCCTCTAGAACTGTATTTACAGGCATTTGTGAGTGCCCAATGTGGACGCTGTGACTAAACCTTCAAGTTAAGAGTAAGTACTTGTGGGCTGGAGAGATGGCTCAGCGGTTAAGAGCACTGACTGCTCTTCCAGAGGTCCTGAGTTCAAATCCCAGCAACCACATCGTGGCTCACAACCATCCGTAATGAGATTCGATGCCCTCTTCTGGTGTGTCTGAAGACAGCTACAGTGTACTCATAAATAAAATAAATAAATAAATCTTTAAAAAAAAAAAAAAAAAAAGAGTAAGTACTTGTAACTGTTGAGTGTCTCTCCAGCCCTGCCTATGATCTGAGCAGGGTTCTTTATCTCCTTTGTGTGTTATAGATAGCCTGTTCTGAGAGACACATGCTTACTTCAGAACCAACTCTCACTGAGCAATAGGACTGCTGATTGGGCTCTGAAGCATGAGTAGTCGGGCCCAGTCCTTTATCATTCCCCATGGACAGGATATCAGGTTCCCAAGACGGAGGTTTTTATAACGGTGCGAGGAAAGGAACCATGGGCGTTACAGACTGAGAGCTCACGTCAGCACGGTGTGGGTGAGTGAGCACGGCCCGTTCAGGTGGGAGGTAAGAGAGCCTCAGCAAAGCAAGAGAGAAAGGTCTCAGCTGTCTTACGCCCATTGGCACCTTAGAAGTGCTATTAAGATGGCTTCTGGGGAAAGTTCTAAATTATTTGTATTGCTGAGGGACCTTGACAATGATGTCTCTGGTTCCTGGATGGCTTCAACCCAGATGACCTCTGTCACTGCTGTCTTCTTGGCTTTAGATTCTGTTGTGTGTGAATCTACCTCAATTTTTTGCCTTTTTTTTTTTTTTGAAACTTTTTTCTTCACACTTTTCCCCACAGCTTTAGTCTTTCTTTCTCCGCCCCCCTTTCTTTCTTTCTTTCTTTTTGGTTTTTCTTGGTTTTTCAAGACAGGGTTTCTCTGTGTAGCCCTGGCTGTCCTGGAACTGACTCTGTAGACCAGGCTGGCCTCGAACTCAGAAATCCGCCTGCCTCTGCCTCCCAAGTGCTGGGATTAAAGGCGTGCGCCACCACCGCCCGGCTGACATTCTTAATCACCTTTTAGAAAACTTCATTTTAATTCTGCCTGAGTGAGTCCACGTTTGACAGGGTCTGTCTTCCTGGTTAGCTGAGTTTTGTTGTTGTTGCTATTTTATTACTGAAATTCACTTATGAGGCCTACATTTAATTACAATTACATTTATAACTATAAAGGTACAGCTTATGTATATTGTATAAATGTCAATGTATAAATTCTAATTCTAATTCTATCTTGTACTTATGATAGACTGCGTTCACCTCCTCATCCCTCCCTGCCATGGATCGCTGATTTATATAACAGAGACATATAAAAATCGTCTGCGTTAGAAAGTTTAAAATAAGTTAGAGCCGCGTAGCAGTTTATAGGCATGTCAGCTTTCTCTGTGTCCCTTGCTTTCTGCTTTACTTTGCTCACATCTGCCTTACATAGCGTATCTACCTGCTGTTCCCTCTAACGGATGCATCGTATATCCGGATGTTTCTTGTCCTTTACAACCTTCTTCATCAAATTGCCCCCCCCCATGCTTGCCCTGGATGAGCCATGTGTGCCCTGCACAGTTTTAGTGTGTAATGTGAATTAAAATCGCTTGTTTCTCCTTCAGAAAGGAACTTAGCTTTACAGCAGGGAATTCGGAAAAAGCCTCTTTGCATAATGAGCGAGAAGGTAGTTTTTGTTGTTGTTGTTTTTTTTTTTTTTTTTTTTTTTTTACAGATGATGTTTTCTCATATTTCATTCTAGAAGAACTGCAGCAGATTGGTGACCGGAAAAAGCCCTATCAGCAAATAGAACGTAAATCAGCAAGCGATATGGTTTTCATCAAGAAGACGCTGGATGCAGCAAGTCGTTACGGATACTCGGGCATTAGAAAGATAGTCCATGTGAACTCATACGTTGTCCTCTCCCCCAGGAGGCCCCATCCCTGTGACCCACTTGCGAACGAGCCGAAGCATAATTTAGATTTACAGATTCATAATGAAAATAATGGGCTGAAGAGCATTGAGAAGATTACCGAATATGGTAAAATTTCATCCTATACCAACAGCAAACATATCCTAACAGGGGAGAAATTACAGGACCATAATCAATGTGGGAAAGTCCTCAGTTACGAACAAGTACCTTGTCAGTATCAGAAAATTCACATTGGGGATAAATCGTATGAATATGCTGAATTTGGAAAGGTTTTTACCCAGAAGTCACAGCTCAGAGTACATGTGAAATCTCCTACAGGAGAAAAACTCTACGTGTGCGTTGAATGTGGGAAGGCATGTTCTCAGAAGTCAGAGTTCCTCGCACATCAAAAAACCCACACTAGAGAGAAGCCCTATAAGTGCAGTGACTGTGGAAAGTCCTTTTTCCAAGTGTCTTCTCTCTTCAGGCATCATAGGATCCACACTGGGGAAAAGCTCTATAAATGTAGCAACTGTGGGAAAGGCTTCTCTTACAACTCAGACCTCAGGACACATCAGAAGATCCACACAGGAGAGAAATGTCACGGCTGTGTCGACTGTGGCAAAGCCTTCACACAAAAGTCCACACTCAAGATGCACCAGAAAATCCACACAGGAGAAAGGGCCTATGTCTGTATTGAATGTGGACAGGCTTTTATCCAGAAGACACACTTGGTCGCACACCGAAGAATTCACACTGGAGAAAAGCCATTCGAGTGTGACAGCTGTGGCAAATCCTTCACTTCCAAGTCCCAACTGCAGGTCCATCAACGAAGTCACTGGAGAGTGAGGCCCTGTGTATCTCCCGACCACGGGGAAGCCTTCAGCAGCAGTTCCAGCCTCCTTACACGTAAGAAAGTCCAAATGAGAGAGAAATCGTCCATCTGCAGTGAGTGCGGGAAGGCCTTTACGTACAGGTCAGAGCTAATTATTCATCAGAGAACTCACACCGGAGAGAAGCCTTATCAGTGCGGGGACTGTGGCAAAGCCTTCACCCAGAAGTCAGCCCTCACGGTCCACCGAAGAATCCACACAGGAGAGAAGTCGTATGTGTGTGTGAAGTGTGGGCTGGCTTTTGTCCAGAAGGCACACTTGGTTGCACACCAGGTAATTCACACTGGAGAGAAACCTTACAAATGTGGTCACTGTGGGAAACTCTTTACTTCCAAGTCGCAACTCCACGTACACAAGCGGGTCCATACAGGGGAAAAGCCGTACGTGTGCGGGAAGTGTGGGAAGGCCTTTGCCAACAGGTCAAATCTCATCACACACCAGAAAACTCATACAGGGGAGAAATCCTATGTCTGTTCAAGGTGTGGAAAAGCCTTCACTCAGAGGTCAGACCTGGTTACACACCAGAGAATACATACTGGAGAGAAGCCATATGCATGTAGTACCTGTGGGAAAGCCTTCACGCAGAAATCACACCTCAACATACACCAGAAGATTCACACCGGAGAGAGACAGTACAAATGCCATGACTGTGGGAAAGCCTTCAACCAGAAATCGATACTCATTGTGCACCAAAAAATCCACACGGGGGAGAAACCCTACGTGTGTGGCGAGTGCGGGAGAGCTTTCATCCGGAAGTCCAACTTCATCATCCATCAACGAATCCATACCGGCGAGAAACCTTACGGATGCAGTGACTGTGGGAAGTCCTTTACCTCCAAGTCGCAGCTCCTGGTGCACCGGCCAATCCACACGGGCGAGAAACCTTACGTGTGTGCCGAGTGTGGGAAAGCCTTTAGTGGCAGGTCAAATCTCAGTAAGCACCAGAAAACTCACACCGGGGAGAAGCCATACGTGTGTTCTGAGTGCGGGAAGTCCTTCAGGCAGAAGTCAGAGTTGATTACGCACCACAGAATCCACACTGGGGAAAAGCCCTACGATTGCAGTGACTGCGGGAAATCCTTCACTAAGAAATCCCAGCTCCAAGTGCATCAGCGAATTCATACCGGAGAGAAGCCGTACAGGTGTGCTGAGTGCGGGAAGGCCTTCACCGATAGGTCCAATTTGAATAAACACCAAACAACACACACTGGAGAGAAACCGTATAAGTGTGTCATCTGTGGGAAAGGCTTTGTCCAGAAGTCAGTGCTCAGCATGCATCAGAGTGTTCACACCTAAGCAGTATGGGTGAGAACTCACCGAGCTCAGCATGCATCAGAGTGTTCACACCTAAGCAGAATGAGTGAGAACTCACCGAGGACATGCCTTACTGTAATTACTGTCTCTATGGAACAGAATAGTCCGTGTAAGTATTGTAAGTAAAAAGTGCCACATGACAGTGCCACACATCACTGCTCAGAAAAGGATCTCAGAGAAGGCACTGAATGGATGACGGGGAAGGACATTTCTACTTGCCGAGAAGAAATTGCATCTTTCTGACACACTAGAAGAAGCTTTCTCATGGAAAAAAAACCACAGTGGAACACTTATCAAATTCTTCTCAAGAAAGATTGTGTCAACTCATGTTGATGCAAAAACCCTGTTGGTGGAATATGTGTCCTGCCAACTAATTAAATGGTAATACAATGTACATGACAAAGATCGCCTTCTCTTCTGTCAGCCATTTGCTGCAAGCATTGAGAGACCTGTGGGTGTGTTTGCATTCTTGGTTGGATCTAACATATGTAGCATATCCGGTCCTTCTGTTGAGAAAGATACACTACAGGCCTAGGTATGGCATTTCATGCCAGCAATTCCAGCCTTCAGGAAGAGCTGAGGCAGGAGGGTCACCATGAGTTCAAAGCTAGTCTGAGCTACAGGGTAAGACACTGTCTCAGAAACAGTGTCACAAATATCGTGACACAAACTCGAGAGTGTACACAGACTTCCCATTGTCATTTACACCAGGATCTGTAACGGACTTTATAAGCTGCCAGTACTTTCTTTGTCAAAAAACAACCAACACGTTGTCTCCTACCTCAAGTAACATGTCTTTGGAATTTCCCTTACCCTCAGAAAGGCTTGAAGTAAAAATGCTGAGATCACCTGGGTCAAATTAAGACCCTTGTCCCAGTTTTCTACACTCACGTGTCCTCGGAAAGCTCATAAATCAGCTCAGTAGAACAGCCCGGGGTTGGGGAGTTAGCTAAATGCCTGCATGGACATAGGTTTACTAGAGGCGGCCCTGCTATGAGCAGCCATCATTGGCTAACGTTTCCTCAGCCAGATGTGGCGTCTCAGTGAGAACCCCTCTTTAGAAATCACTTTGACGTACGTTCTTAGGTGTAGTAATGAGATGCTAAACTGAGTCCCTGACTTGCTGAGGATGGAAGGAAGGGAGAAACACCAAGCAGTGTTGCAGTGGTTCTCAACCTCCCCAACGCTGCGACCCTGTAATACAGTTCCTCGTGCTATGGTGACCCCCAGTATTTTGTTGCTGCTTTATGACTGCAATTTTGCTACTGTTATTAATTGTACCGTATATATTTTTGGAGCTAGAGGGTTATCAAAGGGGCCGTGACCCACAGGTTGAGAACCACTGGTTCACCGTATTCTCTGCCCACCTTCATAGGATACAATCCACAGCGCCCTTCTCTCCCATGTTCCTCAAACACACCAGTTGTCTTCTGTCTTCAGGGCCTTTTCATCTGTTGGGCCTCTGCCAAGAGCACAGTTTGTTTTATCTGGTAGCTTGCTCCTGCCTGCCCTTCCTCCATGACACCTCCCTGCCTGCTTGGCTTCAAATCCTAGCCTTTCCTTTGTTTTATCCTCTGAGGCACTCCTGCCTTGTGTATTTTACTTAATTGTCTTTAGTTCACTCTAGAATGTCTTCCCTGTTTACCATTATGAGTCTACAGTCATGCCTGACTGTGCGTTATGGAGATTGACCCTGGCTTATCATACCAAGTCCCTCCAATGTTTTCTATTTGACTGCAGAGAGGAGCCAACAGAGAGGACCAACTTCCCTACGATATACCAAACTTTGCCTCCAGTCTTTTTTATTTTTTTATTCTTATTTTTTCGAGACAGGGTTTCTCTGTGTAGCCCTGGCTGTCCTGGAACTCACTCTGTAGACCAGGCTGGCCTCGAACTCAGAAATCCACCTGGCTCTGCCTCCCAAGTGCTGGGATTAAAGGCGTGCACCACCACTGCCCAACTTTTGCCTCCAGTCTTTACCTGATACGAATTTGAAAGGAAATCTGGGAAATAAGTGGATGTTTCTTTCCAGAATTCACTGTCATGATTCTAAAACCTCAAAGTGATTGGAGAACAATTTACAAAGCCCATTCATCCTTACCTCTACACATGCAGTTGAAGATTCTTCAACTCCACCAAGAACCCGAATGATAGACTTTTCTCTCACTTCCCGGGGTACCTGAGACAGTGCTATGGAGGGGTCAAGAAAAGATGGGTGGATCTTTGAAGGTCAGGCGGTCAACCCAAGACAGGCAGTGGAAGGATTCAAGTAGAGCAGGCATGAAAACTGTGGGGATGGGCCCAAGCTCTGACACCGGTCATGATGTCTAATGACTCTGGGCTTTCCTAGCAATTGCCTGTTCTCATCTCATCTGGAAATGGGATAACTGGAGGTCAAACTGACTTAGCATGAGTCACAAGACTGTGTGTGTGTGTGTTATGTATGTCACCCATGCCCAGCTCCCTCCACTTTAACAACCCACTGAGAAGAGAGACACCTTCCTATGAGCAGCTGTCATCTGCGGTAGCCCCTCAGCAAGGGGTGGCGTCCCGCAAACCCCTCTCTAGGAGTCATTTTGACGTACACAGTAAAGCGTGAGGCAGATGAGTACAGTTATCCACATTAAGCTGTCTCGTGGAAGAAGTTCAGTGCCCTAAAATCCCTCCACATCCTCCTGTCTGTCCATCTCTTTCTTCTCTGATTACTGGAAACTCGACTGTGTCCGTAGTTTTACCTTTTCCAACATGGTACGTTGGAATCACAGAATGTAGACCCTTGGGATTGCTCTGGCTGACTAACATGCATTTAGGTTTCCGCTGTCTACATGAGTGGACCAACCGCTCATGACTTGATTGCTGAACAGTCATCCCATTGTGTGGCTATGCCATTTGCTCACCTAAAGGACATCTGGAGTAGTGCTATACCTGTGTGCAGAGATTTAAAAAGAAAAAAGACAACCAAAGTACTTATGTTAGAGAAGATGAAAATGTAGAAGTGCTGAGAACCCATCTTTCCACTTAGGTATAAGCGGTATTAACTGAGGAGCTGGGGACATGGCTCAGGGGTTAAGAACACTTACTGTTCTTGAAGAGGATCCAAGTTTGGTTCCCAGGAGCCACGCTGGGCAGATCACAACGACTTGCAACCCAGTTTGAGGGAGATGTCCACGCTTCTGTTTTCCATAGACACCTGCCCTCAGGTGCACACACACACACATACACACACACAATTAAAAATAAATCTTAGCAAAGAACATATGAAATTGGGAGGGAATAGCAGAGCTAGGGAGAGGGGAGGACTTGGCAGAGAAGAAATAGGAATTACATTTAATCAAAACATAAGCATATATAAAATTCTCAAGAAATAGTAGAATAAAATTCTTTTTTTTTTTTTTTTTTTTTTTTTTTTTTTTTGTTTTTTCGAGACAGGGTTTCTCCATACAGCCCTGGCTGTCCTGGAACTCACTCTGTAGACCAGGCTGGCCTCAAACACTCGAACTCAGAAATCCACCTGCCTCTGCCTCCCAAGTGCTGGGATTAAAGGCGTGCGCCACCACTGCCCGGCTATATATTTCTTTATATATAAAGAAAAGAGGCCCGAGAAGACCATAAAATTATAACTCAGGCTGATCTTTGGTACAGAGAAATCCTGAGACAGTTTTAGATTCCAGTAAGCCCTAGAAAATTAGAAAATAATTGTTTAGCATTACAGCATTATAAAATTTCATGCCAGGTGGTTGTGGCATGTGTCTTTTACTCCTAGCACTGGGGAAACAGATGCAGATGGATCTCTGAGTTCAAGGCCAGCCTGGTTGACAAAGTTTTAGGGTTATGAGTTATACTGTTCAACCATAGAAAAGAGACCCTGCAGGATGAATTTAGGCTTCTCAGCATCAGGATGGACCTCTGATGGGATGAACTCAGAATCACCTTGCAGAGAAGCCACTTTTAACAAGCCAGTTTCTGCATACCAAAACTACTTATCTGATCTAGGCATTGTCTAAAGGAACCATTACCTAAGCAATTCTCAGCCTTAGGAGACTTCCTCTTTGCCAGGTTTGTCCTGGAACTAAGTTATACAGAGGTTTTGAGAATTCTTTTGCAATTCTGCAAACCTCAGATAATCACTATTTACAAAAAGCTACTTCAAAGTCCAGGTGCCACCATTCATCCAGATACAATGGCCCTGCTTGAATTCTGCTATAACGCAATGTGTTCCTGGACAGCCAAGATTACAAATAGAATCTCTGTCTCAAAAACAAAAGAGAAAAGAAGCTCTATCAAACCCAAAACTTAGCTCCTCAGTTAGGGGGTGGGACTTCATGCTCCACTCTCCTCTCCATGCAAGAATTTAGTCTGGCTTTACTATACAGGATTTTCCGTGGTGTCACAATCACTGCCCCCCTGTATTCAAAAAACACTGTTTCCCTAAGTCACCCGTCACCTCTGACTCTTACCATTCTCTCTGCCCCGTCTTCCACAGCGATCCCTGAGCCTTGAGAGGACCGTGTGATACATATGTCCATTTAGGGATGAGTATTCTTCCTTTCCTGTCCTTTCTGTTCTGCATTTTATCCAGATGTGGATGTTGGCATTAATTGCCCCACACCGTGAACAGAAGCTTCTTTGATGAGAGTTAAGTAAGAGATACATTAATCTGTAGATATAATGATAAGCTAGGAGATCATTTAATACTATGGTCATTTAGCAGAGTCATTGTAGTAGGGTCTGTTGAGTCTAGACCAACGGTTCTCAACCTGTGGGTCATGACCTTTTGGGGGGGTCTCATATCAGATATGCTGTATAGCAGATACTTACATCACAATGACAATAACAGAAACACAGTTATGAAACAGCAACAAAGTAACTTTATGCTTGGGGTCACCACAGCATGAGGGGCTGTGTTAAAAGGTTACAATGTTAGGAGAGTTGAGGACTCTCCTCTAGCCTATCCGGGTAGTTAATCTTCAAAGAAAGCTACGAATCGTATCACACCTTTTGCTCGGAACCCTCTGATGGCTGACCATTTCACTCAGAGTAAAGTAAAAACTGCTTACAAGTTTTGTAAGACACAGTCCTTGGCTATTCCTCTGACCCTCTGTCCTATGACACCCTTGCACAGAGTTCCTAGACCCTCCGATGTTTCACGACACACCCGTGTCCTGGGAACATGGGACATACTTGTCTGATGAAGTTCAGCATTTGAGAATTTTGATGGTGAAACAGAAGTGTAAAAATATTATCCACATAGGAACACCTTTCTGGGATGTTCTTTCCGAAAACTTAATTTTAGTCTTTCTGAACTTGGCCCTGATTCTTCTTCATGGACTCCACTCTTTTTTTTTTTTGGTTTTTTGAGACAGAGTTTCTCTGTGTAGCCCTGGTTGTCCTGGAACTCACTCTGTAGACGAGGCTGGCCTCGAACTCAGAAATCTGCCTGCCTCTTTATAGGACATTTTTTAAAGCAGTGAGAACTACTGATCCCGTATGCTCTGCATCACTCCTGCCACTTCCTCTACCATCACAGCCTTAGGCTAACATTGCACCAGGTCTGCCGCCGGAGACACAGGGATGCAGGCTGATCAAATGTCCTGCCTGAAAAGTTAGACTACTCACTTTTGTAGCTGCAGCTCAGTAGGCTCTCGTCTCCACAGCCTTATATTAACGCCATATGTGAGATTCTGTTTATCCACAGTGTCCCATTTCAAGATAAGATATTACTTCAAGCCCTTAAGAGAAGTTTTATTATTCAGTGAACTAGGAGAGCATCAAAAAGTGTGAGGGTCACCTTTATTTTAAATAAAACACACAGGCAGGGCACAGTTAGCATGACTGTTCACAAATCAACAGGCTTGCAGCCTCAGCCATCCATAACACCCAGATACCACTTCCAAAGCCCTCACGAGGCTGTCTGGGCTCATGTGTCTACAGTGTTAAGAAGGGCTAGAAGCAGCGAGGATGAATTTCTTTTTTTTTTTTTTTAATATTTATTTATTTATTTTATTGATGAGTACACTGTAGCTGTCTTCGGACACACCAGAAGAGGGCATCCAATCTCATTACGGATTGTTGTGAGCCACCATGTGGTTGCTGGGATTTGAACTCAGGACCTCTGTAAGAGCAGTCAGTGCTCTTAACCACTAAGCCATCTCTCCAGCCCGAGGATGGATTTCTTAATATTGTGTTCATACTGACACCATTTTCATCTTGTTCATAGGCAACGGAGACTGAGATAGGTTTTTTGGGGGTGGGGGAAGGTTTTTGTTTGTTTGTTTTGTTTTTGCCTAGGTTTTATGATAAAAGTTGCTGGGCTGGAGAGATGGCTCAGTGGTGAAGAGCACTGACTGCTCTTCCAAAGGATCTGGGTTCAATTCCCAGCTCCCACATGGCAGCTCATAACTGTTTGTCACTCCAAGATCTGACACCCTCACAAGACATATATACTGACAAAACACTAATGCACATAAAATAAAAATAAATTTGCCGGGCAGTGGTGGCGCACGCCTTTAATCCCAGCACTCGGGAGGCAGAGGCAGGTGGATTTCTGAGTTCGAGGCCAGCCTGGTCTACAGAGTGAGTTCCAGGGCAGCCAGGGCTATACAGAGAAACCCTGTCTCGAAAAAAAAAAAAAAAAACAAAAACAAAAAACCCACAACAACAACAAATACCAAGGGCTTCTTTACAGTATAAATTTCCTTTTATAATAAATATATAAGATCTGAATGAAAGGTTTCTCACACTGATGACAGTATATAAAGCCTCCCAAATAATAAAGATTTCTTGATGATGACTACTCTCATAAGTTCCCTCCTTTCATGCAAATAATGAAAATAGCAGCTAATATTTATGATATACTATGTGAAAGGTGCATATGCAAGTGCTTTTGAAAGAACCCTCCAGGGGGTGACTCAGGATGGATGTGACCCCCAAAGACACTCCAGAGACCTCTTGGTGTAATAACATAAGTCAGGTTTTATGTACGAACCTTCGGATCGACGTGCCCCACGCAGGAGGCAGGGGCCATCAACCCTGAGATCTAACAGCTTAAGGTTTTTATAGATAAAGGCTGGGGGAGGGAGAGGGTTGTGAGTAATCACACACAATTGGCTGTTATAAATGTCTGTAATATGTGTAAGCAGATCTCAGGCAGAGGTTTGACAAATCTCACGAAAATAGTCTCCGGTCCCTGTGGCCTTGGGACCCAGTGTGAATGTTTATCTGAGCCAACAGACCATCTGGCTGGATCTAATTTATAAGTCCTTGGGACCTCTGGTGGGAGTTTTTCTAGAGGAGGCTAAGTCAGACACCACGGGAACAGATTCCCGGAACACTCAATTGACCTTTGCTTCTCTGCTCTGTATCTCTTGTAACGGCCTTGGGTTAGCAAGCTAGCGGACATATTATTCTTAACTATTTGTATTCCTGTTATATTATTTAACTGACTTAAAAAATATCTCTTCACTTTTACGTGTTAAAACATGATATTCAGAAGAATCTTATGGAAAAACTGAGTCTCGCAGATGGTTAAATGAAAGCCAGTTTACTCATACCAAATGTCACAAAGGAAACCAACTGAGAGGACCTGGATGATGTGATAGACACATTTTCTATGCTGAAGACCTTCTATACCACAGCAGCAGAATCACTTTCTATGTTAATTTGCTAAAAGGTGATACAATGTAAACATGTAAACAAACGCTTTTCCTATGTGAATTACATCAACGGTTCTCTCGCATAAATTCTCAAATGCTGAATTCACGATTCCCATATTCACATTTGTAAGAATTCTTCACTGATAATGAATGGCCAGGGAGAGCTGTGTTAGTTGCAGGAAATAAATTAACTCATATGAAAATTTGTGAAGGATGACTAAAGTCTATTCGGCATTCCTTACAGTCAAAAGATGTGTGGCTGATATGAATTCTCTGATGTTGTATTAGTTGGGACCCACGTGTAAAGGCCTTTTCACATTCTTTACACTGATATGGTTTCTCGCCAGTGTGAACTCGTTGGTGCCGCGAAAGATGTGAGCTCTGGGCGAAGGCCTTTCTACACTCCTTACACTCATAGGGCTTCTCGCCCGTGTGGACCCTCTGATGCAGAGTAAGTTGAGAGCCATGACCAAAGGCCTTCCCACATTCCCTGCATTCGTAAGGTTTCTCTCCAGTGTGAGTTCGCTGATGCTGAGTGAGCTGTGAGGCGCGAATAAAAGCCTTCCCACACTCCCTGCACTGATACGGCTTCTCGCCGGTGTGGATTCTCTGATGCTGTATGAGCAGCAATCCCCGCGAAAAGGCCTTGCCACACTCGCCACACACGTAAGGTCTCTCCCCGGTATGAAGTCTCTGATGTTGGGAAAGGTGTGAGCTCTGCGTGAAGGCCGTTCGGCATTCTTTACACTCGTACGGTTTTTCACCCGTGTGGATTCTGTGATGCTGGGTGAGCTGGGAGCCGCGGATAAAGGACTTCCCACACTCCTTACACTCATAGGGCTTCTCGCCCGTGTGGATCCTCTCGTGCTGAGTAAGTTCTGAGCCCCGGCTAAAATTTTTCCCACATTCTTTACATTTGTAGGGTTTCTCACCGGTGTGGATCCTCTGATGTCTCGTAAGGAGTGACCCGCGATTAAAGGCTTTCCCACACTCCTTACACTGATAGGGCCTCTCGCCAGTGTGGATCCTCTGATGCTGAGTTAGTTGTGAGCCGTGACTGAAGCTCTTCCCACATTCTTCACATCCGTAAGGCTTCTCATTAGTATGGATCCTCTGATGTTGAGTGAGCTGGGAACCACGGATGAAGGCCTTTCCACATTCGTCACATTTATAGGGTTTTTCGCCAGTGTGAATTCTTTGATGTTGCATAAGTAGCGACCCTCGAACAAAAGCCTTCCCACACTCCTTACATTCATACGGCTTTTCTCCGTTGTGGGTTTTCTGGTGCTGCGAAAGCTGCGAGCCACAGATGAAGGCTTTCCCACAGTCCTTACACTCGTAGGGCTTCTCGCCAGTGTGCATTCGTCTGTGCAGGATAAGCTGCGAGAGCTGAGTGAAGACCTTCCTGCACTCTTGACAGTCGAACAGCTTCTCGCCAGTGTGCAGTCTCTGGTGCAGAGTGAGCTGCGAGTTCTGGGTGAAGGCCTTCCCACATTCTTTACATGCAAAGGGTTTCTCTCCCGTGTGGACCTTCTGATGCCGGCTGAGCTGTGAGCTCCGGATAAAGGCTTTCCCACACGCCTCGCACTTGTATGGTTTCTCACCGGTGTGAATTCTATGGTGCAAAATCAGCTGTGAGCTTTGAGTGAAGGCCTTTCCACACTCCTTGCACGTGTAGGGCTTCTCACCGGTGTGAAGCCTCTGATGAAGGCTTAGCTGGGAATCTCGGCTAAAGGCCTTCCCACACTGCTTACATTCATAGGGCTTCTCACCGGTGTGAATACTCTGATGCTGGGACAGGTGGGAGGCTCGCCTGAAGGCTTTCCCGCACTCCTCACATTTATAGGGCTTCTCTGTAGAGTAACTCCGTGGATGCTGAGGTAGGCCCGTGCCTGGGCTGAAAATGGACATTTTGTCATGTGTTACCATCTCTTGCCTGTAATATTCCTTCTGATTTTCCTGTTCTTTCTCTGACTTCCAAAGATTTTCTAGAGTTAGTCTTAGGCACACAGTTTCCGAATCTCTCACTCATTTCCCACCGAGACAATGCAGATCCCTAGGTGTGCTATTTTGAAGATAAGTCCTTGTTCAGAAGGCAAGCCTGGAAGAGAAGAGAAAAGCAAAAAACTTCAGAGAAATAGAACTAATATGCCAGGAAAGAGAAGAAGAAAATAATGTCTGTAAGAATAGCAAGCATATGTTAGTGTTTGCTACATACTGCCCACTATGTCCCACCCATACATTTTACAGCAAAATTCACTGCATAGTTTCATTAAAATAGTAATGTTTTCCATTCTATGTTATTCTATGCTCCCCATAGTAAAAAGCCAACTAAAGTGATTTTAATGCTGCTGTCCAAAATTTAAAACAAAAAATAGCTTAGGCATCAGACATGGTGATACTTGCAACAGTGATGACCACAATAATAACAATAATCATTATTATTACTGCATGTATACTTATACATTAGCTTGGGACGAAAATGGGTCCCTCAGGTCAGAGAATAATGAAAACTCCCCTAGGAGTGAAAAAGCATAGGATTTTTTAAAAATTCCAAAACTAATGGTTCTTGGTAGTGTTCTCCAGGGAAATGTACCATCTCTTGGGTGTGAACCATCCACTTACTGAGCATTTCTCTGTTAACCCCCATATTTAAATCTGTTACAAATATCTTCCTAATAATTTCTAACTCTGGAAAAAAAACTTCAATAGTTGTCGAACTCTAGTGGGGATAAATATTATGCCAAATATTTGTTAAAATTAAAGATGTCCAAGAATACACCAGATTAACTGACTCTGATTCTAATAAACTAGAAACTGAATATAATGGAGATCACAGTTTTGATGTTTTAATTACCTGATTAGAGTGTGATTTGCTATCCCTGTTTAAATTTTTGGTAGCTGTTAAATCAGAGTGAAAAACAAAGTCATAGCTCTATGACATCGATAAAGTTCTCCATGGTCTGGCTGAGCCTTCTTAGCTTTGATCACTGGGTGTCAATCTTGATAGCTTCCTTTCTACTCTGAAAATGTCCCAAGGCCCTCATCCCCAGCTTACAGGAAACTACGTGGCCTGTAGCCTGGTCCACTTCCTTAGACCTCTCAGCAGAAAACTATGTAAACTAGGTCTTATCTTCAGGTACCAACTTAACTATTGTTGGTAAATAGTAACAATTCAGCCTGGTTTGGAGGGATAGAGAGATGGCTCAGTACTGGTCTTCCAGAGGACCTTTAACTAATTAATTAAGTTCTTTCTTAAGATGTACTTATTTTATACGTGTGAGTACACTGTCACTGTCTTCAGACACACCAGAAGAGGGCATTGGATTCCATTACAAATGTTTGTGAGCCACCATGTAGGTGCTGGGAATTGAACTCAGGACCTCTGGAAGAGTAGTCGGTGCTCTTAACTGCTAAGCCATTTCTCCAGCCTTACACAGCAGCTGACAACTGTCTGAAATCCCAGTTCCAGGGGATCTGATGCTCTGTTCTTGCCTCCATAGACAATGAATGTATTTGGTGCACAGATATACATGTAGAAAAAGCAGTGATACACAAAAGTTTTCCTGCTTTCCTCCCTCCCTTCCTCCCTTTCTTTTGGTGTTTTTGAGACAGAGTTTCTCTGTATAATGCCCTGGCTGTCCTGGAACTTGTTTTATAGACCAGGCTGGCCTCCTAAGTGCTGGGATTAAAGGCATGTGCCTCCATGCCCAGCGAAAATAAAAATTAAAGAAAAACTTAATTAAAAAATAAAAGAATCGCCGGGCGGTGGTGGCTGCGCACACCTTTAATCCCAGCACTTGGGAGACAGGGATAGGCGGATTTCTGAGTTCGAGGCCAGCCTGGTCTACAGAGTGAGTTCCAGGACAGCCAGGGCTACACAGAGAAACCCTGTCTCGAAAAAACCAAAGTAATAGTATTATTATTATTAATAATAAAAGAATCTTGGCCAGACATAGCGGCACATGGTGGCATATCCTTTGCTCCCAGCACTCAGAGGCAGAGGTAGGCAGATTCCTGTTAGACTGAGGCCAGCCTGCTCAACTTGGTAGGCTCTAGGCCAGTTAGAGTTATATAGTGAGACCCTATCTCAAAAAAAGATAAAAATCTTAAGAATTCATTTCTGTTAATTCAGCATAAGTCGTGAAAAATATAAAAAACACAAAAATGAAAGACACAAAGTATTTGTAGGCTAAGAGTTAAAAAAAAACAAACAAAAATTGGCAACACAGAGAGAAAGACAGAGACAGACAGACAGACAGACAGACAGAGAGACAGGGAAAGAGAGAGCAAGCGCACAAAACATATGGTCTAGTAAAGTAAGTCTTAACAATCTGAAAAGGCCATAGGAAAGGTTAAAAATGGTGTTTTTCGTACTGCGTGGTGTTGGGCTAAGATTCCGAGGGCCACAGTGAAGGAACAAGAGACTGGCCAGTGCAGGTCTAAACCCAGCCAGGCTGCCTCTCCATTCTCATCCTCTCAGCTTATATAGTCCTGGCTGGTGTGGAGCTTACAATCCCCCTGCCTCAACCTCTGGAGTACTAAGACAGACACTAAACCCAACTAACGCTTTTAAATAAACATAGAAATGTAAAGAGACGGTTCAGAGGTTAACAGCACTGGCTGCTCTTAACAGAGGACATAGGTTCCATCCCCAGCGCCCACACGGTGGTTCACAACCATCTGTAACTCCAGTTCCAGGGGATCTGGTGCCCCTCTGGCTTCCACAGGTACTGCATGCATGCGGTATATATATACATATGTGTAGCCAAAACACTCATACACATAAAATAGATAAATCTTTTAAAAATTTTGCCTCTGAGATGAGAATATTACAGTATGAAAATTATTGTTAAAATCATATAATAATAAGTAGACTGATCTTCATCTATGAAAATTTCAGGTTATTAGAACTGTGTTTCGCTGGGCAGTGGTGGCGCATGCCTTTAATCCCAGCACTTGGGAGGGAGAGGCAGGCAGATTTCTGAGTTCGAGGCCAGCCTGGTCTACAGAGTGAGTTCCAGGACAGCCAGTGCTGCATAGAGAAACCCTGTCTCAAAAAAACAAACAACAACAACAAAAAACCAAACAAACAACAAAAAAAGAAATTCTAAAGTAAGAGACACTGTTCCTTTAAAAGGTAGAACTAACAACCCACTGTGAAAAGTTCAATGTATCATTAATCTTACATAACTGCGTCAGAAGGCAAGGGTATCAGTTATACACCAACAAAACTCTATCACAAAAATAGACATATACATTCATTTGCCAACTTCTGTCTAGATATCCCCAGTGTGCAACAAAGAATTGCTCCTGAGTTACAAAATAAGGACTGTATCTTGAAGAAACATGTTTTTAAACATCTGGATCTGGATCTTCTTACGTGAAGTATTTTTGCATGGTTTTCTCTACTTGATGAATTTATCTGTTTTCTTATTGCTGGATAGCTTTATTATCAGGTAAGTCCTTGAGGGTGCAAATGAGGTTGATGGAAGGACTGTTGGACTTTATTTTATGGAAATTTTACTGAGTTTGAAAAATCATTTCCGCCTTTAATCCCAGCACTTGGGAGGCAGAGGCAGGCGGATTTCTGAGTTGGGGGCCAGCCTGGTCTACAGAGTGAGTTCCAGGACAGCCAGGGCTACACAGAGAAACCCTGTCTCGAAAAAACAAAAAAAAGAAAAAAGAAAGAAAGAAAAATCATTTCAAAAGGTCAGTAATGAAAATACTGCTTGCAGTTTTTCACTTAACAATAACAAATACCTAGAGAAGGCTCTATTTGTAAATCTGCCTTCTATTCTACATACATGTGAACACACATATATGCTTAGCTTTTGTTTCAAAAGGCTGAGGCTGGGGAGATGGCTTGGTGGTTAAGGGCACTTGTACTTCCAGAGCTCTGGAGTTCGGTTTCTAGCACCAACGTGGCAGCACACTGCCACTGTCAACTCTTCTGACAATGTCTTATAACTTTATCCAGCACCAGGCATGCACATGTATACAAACATACATGTAGGCCAAACACATAAAATACAAATTAAAAAAAAATTAAGCCATTGCGGGGGGAGGGGCATGCATGCCTTTAATCCTAGGACTGGGAGGCAGAGGCAGGTGGATCTGAGTTCAAGGCCAGGCTGGTCTACAGAGTGAGTTCCAGACAGCCAGGGCTACACAGAGAAACAGTCTTGGAAAGCCGGAAAAAAAAAAGGAGGGGGGGGGCAAAGGCTAAGGTAGTTAACATTTCCATCTCATAAATTAATTTTAATTTCATTGTAGTATTTTAAACACAGCTTACCAGCTTACCAGTTACAGGTATAGGCTAGCATGCCCAACATTGCCAAACTCTTCTTGAGGAACATATGTGTGTGTATGTATACGTGTGTATGTATACATACTGTTGTATAATAGTTTCCTCCAAGATTGAAACATTTCATCCTTCAGGGAAGCTCTTTAAGATAGGAGGTAAGCAACTCAAAGCAGCTCTAGGAAGTTCCTGAAACTGACCAGATTCACAGCCTGATTTGTTTGTTAGCCAGACCCATTCTTAACGGCTGAGCACCAAGGTACCATCCAGCAATCAAAAGCCCCCTTTTGGCTACTCCAATGAACACACTCAATCAAAACACCACTGTATCCTAGTCCAGTCTAACAAAGATCGACCCCTTTTTCCCTCTTAAAAAAAAAATCACCTATAAGGTCCTTTGCTGCTTTTTTTCTGCCCAAGTCAGAAATTAGTCGCTTTACTCTTCTTTCTACCTTAATAAAGAATCTGTGAAAACAGGTGGTTGGGTGTGGTCTGTGGTTCAGGGTTGGGGAGGGATAACCCCTCTGGGTTCCAGTCCCTTCAACAGGAGGCTTAGGGGTGTCTAGTGGAGGAATCCCAGCACGGCAGTCTCCATCTCTGTGGTACAGCTGGCATGTCTGTTGATTCTACTCACATGAACATGAAGATGACCTAAAAACAGTTAAAGGTTTAGAGGGAGTTTTGCAGTCTTTGAGATTAGAGCACAAGGGTCAAGATTGCCGGCAAGCAGCAGCAGAGGCTGCCTGGTCACTGTTGTGTGTAGTCAGGAACGGATCTGAGGCCAAGATGGCTCCAAG